TGAGGTGTTTAAGATTGTAAAGGGAATTGATAGTATTGATGCATCATCATTTTTCATACTTAACAATGAGAATAATATGACTAGGGCACACAAATATAAATTTTGGCAAGGTAGGAGTCATCTTCAGTTAAGACGTTTCATTTTTCTAACAGGGTGGTTGGCCTTTGAAATGGGTTGCCTTCAGATGTTTATAGAGGCAGTAAATTTATGTGAGTTTAAGAAAAAGCTTGATAAGTATATGAATGATAAGAGCTGTCTTTACGATTTTTTTATTATTATTTTAAATTAGTTTAGAGGATGGAACAGCCAAGATGGACCAAGAGGTCCCATGTTGTCTCAAAACATTATGTTATGTACTGTTTAAACACTGTAAATACAAAAAATGATAAATTTTATTACTAGTAAGATAAGACCTGAGTTCTATTAGGTAATGACTGTGTTCTAACTTGCTCCCAACTTTAGAAGTGTACATGCAGGTTATGAACTACTCCTCAGAAAGCTGTGAGATATTGACAAATACATATATATTTTGGAGCTAGGGGAACTGTTTTATCTATTTTAGTAGTTATTGTACATACTTACTGTACCTAAAATGCCACCACATTTAGGATTGGGTAAAGTAATACAGTTAACATTCATATTCACCATTATTTTGAACTACACAACTAACAGTTAACTTTAAGTTTAAACATCTGGAAGATATGCAAACAAGAGTAACAAATACGATTTTTTTTTGCACAATATACTTTAAACTGGCAACTTATTAGTACTAAGCTCTTACCTCACAGCATTTATATGTAGACTTCACAAGGATAAATATATGCTCAAGTGCTCTACCAGTCCACAAAGCAAGTAATAGAAGCTGAAGAGTATTTTTTCTTTAAACGAACGTGACATGAGTTATTAATAATTTGTTTTATTTTCCTTTTGGTTAATTTTAATCAAAACGTTTTCACTGCATGCTTAATTCTGACGACTATCTCATGAAGTACAGGTTTTGCCTGTCTCTTGAAAACAAGAAATATTGCGAAAAACTTGCTTTAAAACGGGTTTAAATTTTTGTACCCTTAGTACTATTAAATTCACAGTCACGTGTCTTAGGTTCATCTAGATAGGGGTGTCGTTCACAGTGACATGTAAAACTATTTCCACTACTTCGATTTGAACAAACCTCACGTTTTCAACTGAACAAACAGTGGAATCAACGCCAATGATATTAAAGGAACGAGCGCAGGTACCGATTCACATTGAATGATGGAGTTTTTGTTACTGATCGATCCATCGCTTTCTCGGCTTACTGGAGAACAGAATCGTTATGTTCATTGATACGTCAAAATTTTTGTTAATAGGTTGTCGTAAAAAACGATGCCATACAGAGGATATCATACCAGGGAATCCATAATAAAATACATTGTCGCCCCTTCTTAATAAAATTCCACTGCTCTAATCTTATACAAATATAATACATGCCTGATCACGTATGCCTACCCAGAATTCCTACAGTGCGCACGTGTATGGTAAAGCTAAAACAACATGAGAAATTCTTCTTTCCCAAAATGCATAAAGGATAACAAATATGACTCCTAAATTTCTTACTAAGCTGTACTATAATCCACATTTAGATATGCTTTTAGACGAGCAACGTTAACTAAATTTACAAATTGGACTTTTTTCAAAGAGCTCAACAAAAGAGCCAAAAACTCACTGAAATAAAAAAGTATTATTGTACAAAATGCTCTAAGGTATTTCTAAAATATAGTCGTTAAAAAAAAAAAGATACTAAAATTAATTTTACAATACGGTATAATCCTTTAAATATTTCTATAAATGTTTTAAGTTAATCATCGAAAACAAAGCTGGGACAACACTGCATAATCCTAAAATTCTATTAGATTTTTAAGCATGCAACACATTATTTTCACTCATGTCATAATATAGGTTACAAAAACAGACAACAGACATTTCAAAATGAACTATATCGCCATCTACCGACAGCCCAACTTATTTAAAGGATTAATACAATTAACTAGATATAAAATTCGCATGAACAATGAATAGGTGATTAGTTCAGTTTATGAGAGTTTTTGATATACCTTCAAAGTTGGCACTCTTCACTAGATTTTTGTCACTTTGGGCAATATTGCCTTTCAATAGCAACACTCGTCGACGTTACTGTGTTGATAACTCCTTGAAAAGATTAAGTAGTGAGTGAAATGATGCCAATGGCTGATTACTCTTTCTAACTTATTTCTTCTCACCATAAGATGAAGAGGGAAACCACTAAAGACGTTCAATATGGTTTTCTCATTTGTTCGTTTTCGCGCAAAGCCACACATAGACATTGTGGGAAATCGAGCCCCAGATTTTTAGTGTTGTGAGTTCGCTGACCCGCTGGGGTGGGGGATGGGTCATTTTCTCATCAAACTTGTGTCTGGAAACCGGTTGGAAATACAGTACAAAAATTTAAACTGTTATTTTGGATTTCAAGTTTGAATTTTGGAATAGCTAATACATTTACTCTCAAATTGATGCATGGTGTTTTGTAAATAGTCTTCGTAATATCGTTTTTATCTATTACTTAAGGCAACAAGTTTATCTAGCTTTTTCACATTTAAAGACACGCAAGAAGGTTATCAGTTTTCAAACAGTGAAGCGAAAAGGAAATTTAAGGAAATTATCACTTACTTATTGAGAGCGAAGTGGAGTTAAAACAACAAATAAATAAATACAATTTCAATATAAAATATGTTGCAATTTTCATTGTAAATCTCAATATATCCAATATCATTAAAATCAACCATAAGCCGACGGGTTAAATTAATCATGTAAGGAGCTGAATAGCTGTGTAAAATTTTAAATCATTATAATGTTAAAGTAAATAATACTGTACATGTTCAACTATTGGCTTATCAGACTTTTTAATACAACATAATGCAGACGAAATCAATACATTTTATATTATGAGTGACAACTTTAAAATAAAGTTGAGTGTGGTCAAAACATATTAAAAAATTCACTGATATACTATGGCGTTACGCTTTATTAACACACGTAGTGTTTAAACAAAATAAAGTGTTCTTACTAACCTCAGCGAGCAAGTTTTACAAATTATATACAAGAAATTCGACTGGTGTAATTAGGAATAACTGAAATGCATTTCCAATCCAAACAACAATCTCTATTTCCATAACATCAACTGGATTTTTTTGGCAATACGAGTAAGTTGGGCATCGCATCATCATATTAACATAAGGTTAACGATTTTTTTCTCTAATGATTATTTTTTTTACGTTACACACACAGACAGTTGTCCAAAATTTTCAGTTTAATATATATATATGAAAGATAATGTAGATCGTAAACCTAGTATTTTAAATGCTACACGGACCGTCATAAGCCTCGCTCTGATGAAATGCGGGAAGTATTTCTGAAAAATGTTTCATCCTTTGAAATTGTATATAAGCATCTGAAAATATAAAACATTTATATAGTTTCCAATGATCACAAAGACAGTTCTCAATGAAATTCGGTAGTACAAGTGTTTCTTATTTTTGTCTCTTTCCATTTAATTATTTACATATCTAACGAAATTCATACCAACCTTGCTGAAAGACTTGAATTGGAGGAGCTTCCTGAGTGGTTGAGATTTGACACTGGTTTATCATCTACGTCTACATCGCTGCATGAAAATTATCATAGCATGTCATAAATCGTATACTTTACCAGTTGCAGAAAAACATATAATATAAAATTACACATTTTTATGCACAGCCATTACTTACAATGAACACGAGTCCAAAATACTTGCTTACCTCACATTATTTATACATAAAAAATCACAAGTCACAGAAAAGTGGTAGTACCAAAGAAAAATAAGAATACGGATTCACTGCACACACGATTTAAAATAGTATTCATTTATTAGTGGCTTTTCTCTACGTTTTGTGCGAATGTTTGTATCGAACAGCTAAGAAAAGAGAAGAATTGTAACAAAGATATTTTTTGCTAAGACATAGGTGCAGTTAATATATTTTATTTTTGTTTCTTGAGAATACATTGACGTTTTTTGGAACAATGAAATGTAAAATACTTATTACAGGTTACAGCCGACTAGTTTTGGTAACACAGTTACCATCATCAGGGTTAATGTTTCCGATTAGTCGGCTGTAACCTATAATAACGATTCTACCTTTCATTGTACCAAAAAACGTCGTTTTTTAAAACTCTTATTATAACAGCATAATGTGCCTGAAAACACATTAATATAACTGATATTATTGACAAAAATCACGTTAGACTGTAATTTATTTTAGTTCACTTTAATTTATTTATTAAGAATTTCAAGGATATTTGTAAAGATAACAATTACTGTATGTTGTATTTTTATTGTACACGTTTCTCGAGATTCGTATTGTTGTTCGGAATTTTAACGTCACGTGATGAGCGCGTGGCCTAACGTTTTGAATTTCCCCTAAAGGTTCAGAAATTAGCCAAGATTAGATGGTTACTGATTATTTAGTTAGTCAGTGAATTACTGAGAGACAGTTATTTAATTTAGTTTTGTAAATTTTAAGTTGTGTTTGTGGTGCATTAATGGGAATAATAACTACTGTATGTACCAAAAAATTACTAAGCAAGTGGAATTGTTAATTTAGATCTATCACTTAGTGAACAAACGTTTAATTAGTTACATAAACCCTTGGACTTGTAAAACTTGAAGATCAAGAAGTCAAATGCTCTTTTGCTATAATTAATATTGTGTTATTTCTACCGAATAGTCTAAAAGAACATGCCCAACAACAGAAATCATTAAACAAGAGGGGTTTCAGGCATAGTTTGAAAACATTTCATACTGATGAAACAGCCACTGATAATAAATAAAGAACACAATATCTAAGGATGAGGACACTATTATTTATTAAAGGAACCAGTCCAGGAGTCAATGGATTCATTGTAACATGTTGATTAACACTGGTTTTATGGCTACCATTATTTGGCCTAACCCGGTAATGAAAGCTGAGGAACTGCTTGTACAGTATGCGAACAATAAGTGTCATAAAGTTCTGGCAAAAAGAAAGTGGAATCACATCACTACAGGTAGCTGGTTTACACAACACGATGTGTTGATAACTGACATTGAAGAAGAGTGAATATCGGGAACTGATTCTATGCAGAAATACAGATGAGAGGTTAGAATCACTTGAAACAGTTTCACAGTCGATAATCACAAAATCTATAGGCAATATTCGATAACCAAAGCATCAAAGGTTGAATTTCCAGTAACAAAAAGGACAGAAACACAAAATAATGAAGAAAATCAGCTTAAAGTGCAACAATGCAGAATACCGAAAGACTGGCACTCCAAATCAATGGTTACACCATGATTGTCTTGGGAAGTAAAGTAAAATAAGATATCGCCAGAGGTAAAACAATCTGATAGAGAACTGAAGGTTGTTGTAGAGATAACCTTCAACGTATCATCTGGAACTGGAACCACCCACAGATTTCCTTGACCATCTACTTGAAGAAAATTCACCTGGTGACATGGTAATAAGCAATGATAAATGACAAGAGGTCATCTCATCTTCATACTATAAACCATAGAAAAGAAAACTACCAAAAAGGATTTACTACTTGGAGAATTTAAGGATAGTTACCGAGAGACTAAACAATATTTAATTTTATTAATCAAATTTGTGATTTTATTTATATTTCAGCACTGATTTAATTACTGTAATGTTCAGATTTATGAGTATCAATGTTGTTACCAATCAAAAATTACATTATTGCTAATTATGGAAGTTTAAACTTAGTGTCCATTATTATCTTAGTGCAATGGGATCGTTCAAGAAGATACACAATCCAGGTTCGAAGATTGATCTGTTTGTGTCGGTGTTTTGGTCGTTATGCGCGACCTAGGAGGGTCGGGTTCAATCCAGACCTCTTATTCCATAATCCAGGGAGAAGTGTTGTAAATTATATATTAACCTAGAAGCTTCTAGTTGTTCGTATTATTGTTCGGTTGGAAGTGTAAAGTCACGCGATAAAAAAAAAAAAATTACAAAATTCAAATTCCGCGTTATGTTTGCGACAGTAAGAGACATACAAAAAGTACGTACGTATTAATTGGTATGTGTAAATATTATGTTTGGCCTATTGCTGGGTAAACGTTACGTAAAACCTGGAATTGTAAAACTAAGTGCAAGAAAGAAAACGCTTTGCTTATTATTAAGTGGACTGGACGTCGTATTATTCTTATTTTTTTATCGAGTAATCCAAAAGAACTGGCTTAACAACAGAAACCATTACAACAATGTGAATAACAATTGAAATAAACTTTGAGCCTTGAATAGGCATAATTGTAATCCACAGTTGACGATACGACGAATAAAAAAAATATTACATCCCTAAGTCAAAGTTTGTATTTTCAATGTTAAATTTGATGAAAAAAACACTCTAATATTAACATTAAAAAGTTTGTCTTTCATCTTTTCCTTTTACAAGTTACAGCTTTTACAGTAAAGAAAAATATCATTTAAACAGGTACGACGTTCTCATCTTTAGTGCGATCATTCTCAAAAGATTTTTGAATTTAAACTAACATTCGATAATACCTAACAGGTATAAAATCTATTATATTTTAACACAACATTCTTTATATAGTCCCTTAGAGTTTGTTTGTTTGTTGAATTTCGCGCAAAGATAGCCGTCCCTAATTTAGCAGTGAAAGACTAGAGAGAAGGCAGCTAGTCATCAGATCAACGAATGATGAGATTGACCGTCACATTATAACGCACCCACGGCTGACGGGGATTCAAATCCGCACACCTCAGACTGGGAGTCGAGCGCCCTAACCATGCCAGGCCTAGTCCCTAATGGACTTTGTGAATTAGAAAAGTGAATAATAATAATATTTCAACCATACTATGACTATGTTCGTCATATCTACTGCTGCTGATGCGTTTCGCTCAATCCACAGCTCATCAGGCTGGTAGAGACACAACAAATACAGGAGTGATCGGAATACTATTTATATAAGCCAGTTGTTACATCAACTATTGGAAAGCCAGCTTGAATGCTGATTTAAATACAAAAACCATCTCTACTGTTAAATATATGTACTTGAGAATGATTGCATCAGCATCAAAACGTCGTACCTGTTTAAAACAACAACAACAAAAAAACCTACTGTAAAAGTTGTAACTTGTAAAAAAAATCTTTATAACCAGTAAGTAAATTCATAGGAAACTATTTGTCTTTCATCGTTCAGCCCAGCAGACGAATCCCGGTACTGAACAACAGGCTTTATGAGTAGTGACTTATGGCAGACGAATGATAGCTTTGAAATGCTACTTTTAAACACCTATCACCTGAAATACATAATGAACAAATTCAAAAGCAATCACTGACTCAATGGCAGCACAAATGGATGGGCACTTTGTAGAAACTTTATCCGTCATTTAGTCATTTTTTTATTAACGTCTACAGGAATATGCATTAGTACAAAAGGTATCCAAAAGTGTACGCCGATCAATAATTGAGTAACACCAAAAAAAAGTTATGATTATTTTCTGTCAGTAATGGTGGGTGATTTTTACCCAAAGTAAGACAATGGTCATGGTATTGTTGTAGTACATTATCTATGGAATACTTACCATTATCAAACTTTTTGTGAAACCGATGGGGAACTGCTAAGGCAACGAACCAGAATTTCCAAGTGTTTTTTCTTGTTGAGGTCAGATTCAAAGCAACTTAAGAATGTATAGTGGCACAATGTCCGAGGAGTTACAAGTGTAGCAGGTGCGGATGCGATCACGATGGCACACCAAGTGCTCAGAAAATTAGCCGAAAGAGAGGTCAGGGAAGTTTAGGCAGAAAAAAATGCTGTCATGCACTCAAAAGAGAAGTACGTCTGTATACAGTGCAATAAACTTACAGACGTATCAGACGATTTGCCCTCAAATGGGGTTAAGACCAGAAGGAGAAGAACGATTCAAGATCGGGTAAGGAACGGAGCGAAGATTTTATAGAGTGAAGTACAAGGATAAGATTAAGATGAGTAATAAAATAATGGCGAAATAGCACGACCATGCCATGGGTATTCCACTCTGGTAGAATAGAAACACCTTAACAACTACACGGATCAGACAAAACAGCATGGCAAAATGATCTCTTGATAATACCCTACACAACCCCGAGCCTCCCTCTCAGGCTTCCTAATGAGGTACCTTACCACTTACCAAAATAGTCATACTTTCTGCCGTTGGGTCAGAGATTGCTTGTTAAGAGGAATGTGAAATAATAAATAATAACAAAGAAGCATATGCAATCTAACAAGATTTTTTTTTATCACGAATACTAGGCTTATTGTTTTCTAATACTTCACCTACCATCGGCGTTCAAAACGCGCATCTATATAAATATAATAATACTGTCTGTTGTATGTCCATGTAACTACCTCGCAGGGTGTGGATGGATCTTCGCTAAAATAACTATGGGGGGTTCATTAGGTACATGCAGAGGCACATACAAATTTTCAGTTTTGAATTTTGCGGTTTTTATGAGCGTTTCTTACAAATACTTCACCCCTTTTTGATTGATCTTCACCAAATTTGGCATGACGATTTGTTGGATCCATACGGAGATACTTGTAAATTTGCGGTTTCACATTTTTTATGGACGTTTTTGCGTTTTTTACAATTATATATAATGGAAGCAACTTTTCATGTCCTAAGATAACCTTTCATTGATCATGAATATACATCACTTCTGTCCAGGA